GAGGCGGCATCCGCCCGCCCGCAGGCCTTTGGGTCCACCGGGATCACCGGGGCAGCGTTCCAGCTGCCGCCGCGGGAACGCGCTGACTCCGCGGGAAGGGTGAAGCGCGACGGAGAGTCCGACAAGTGACAAGAATGGGATGTGAGCCCGAGGGGGTGGATGAGGAAATGCTCCGCACCTCAGCTCGTTCAGTCTGTGTAATGCCCCATGCCCACAGCAACCGCGGGGGCGGAAACAGAGCTTCTGTTGTGCGTGCAGACTCGTGAGAGTCTTAAAACCTGTTACCTGCTGGTGCTGCGCAGGCTGGCCGTCAGAGCAAAGTTAATTTCAGGTGTACGTGTGAGTTTTACGATTTTAAAAACCTTCAAAACTGAGTACTGCCAGCCTCTTGGAATAATGCATGTAGTTTATGGAACAATGGTACATCTGAGAGTACAGAAATGTACACGTGAAAGAACAAAGTATGTGCTAAGAGAAATAAGGCCTGGGTTCCCCTTTACTTTCAGAATAGGGTCCCATTATAAACTGATTTATCAAAGACCAAATCTGAAACTGTACTCTCCCTTTGTTCCATGAGTAGCCATTTTCTTTCTCATCACAGGGGTGAAAAATATGTATAATTTCTCATCATGGGGGAAATGTGACTGAGTCTTCTATTTCTCCTTGATTAGGAAGAAGGGTCCCAGAGGGGCAGATGTTATTGAGAAAGTGAGAATGTCCCAGAGGGATAATTATTCTCCCGTCAGGGCCCAGTGCTGCTTCACACACCTGCGCGAGTGATTTGAAGGTGCATAAACAACTGGGGAAAGTGCTGTGCTACTCCCACTGCAGATTCCCATATCAGATTAGGCCAGAATTCTCCAGGCAGGTAAGATGCAAAGTCTGAACCAGTCAAACTCATCTGGCCTAGAAGGGTGCAACTGAAAGGAACTTAGGAGCCTACACATCTCCATATTTTAATACATACTCAACAGTTCCACATTGTTGGGCTGATAATGAGTCAAAGGACTCCCAAGATTACTAAGGATCTTCACGTAACAGAATCAAGCTTTCCCATTCAGACCCCTGGGAAGATCGAAGCGGCAACAAGAATAAATGTTTTTTGGAGAGACTAGTTCTGCGTTTCTCTTTGCCTTTGTTGAATTGTATAGGATCAGCAGATGTGGAGTGCTGGGATCACGCCTGTGCCATTAACTGCAGCAAACTGGTCTTTTACTGTGACTGTTGTGTGGTCATTTACTCAGCTTCAGCTTACTTGGTTTATGTTAAAAAAAGCTTATTCTTGGGAGACGTTCCCTGTGGTTTTGTAGGTCTGAGTAAATAAACAGGTCTCTCTAAAGCTTCAGGTGATCACAGCTGTGGCCAGGTGGTCTGACATGACAAGTGCCTCACTTGGTGAGGCTCCCCAGTCCAATCTGTCTGCATGGCTAATGAGGCACTGAAGCAACTGCATCTCTGAGGCTGCTGATTCCAGGTGTTGAATCAGTTTTCCCTGCCTCAAACATCAGAAATGTGCTTCAACTTGACGGAGAGTTGATATCACAGTGCAGGCTTTTGGTAGTACTAACATAGTGGCTGTAAGTTGATCTGATAACACCTTGGAATAAGACGTGCATCTAATTTGCTTGCAGATTTCAGAGAGTTGCTGAGTGGCTCCAGCAGGCAGCTTTTTCTGCTGAAGCACTGGGCTGTCAGTGTGACTCCATGAAGCCACTCGCTGAACAGTTAAAGCTGAGGGGAGTAACTACAATCTTTAAGCTGCAAATCAAAATTTTCACAATGCTGAAAGGCAGGGGAGCCACACTGCACATCTTAAAGGGGCTGAAAACAGGAAACCATTCCAAAGCAGTTCACAGGCAGGAGATGACAGTCATTTCCCAGGAAGTGACCACAGGTTCTTGCACAGCCCTACTGTAAATCAGAACAGGAGCTCTGGGGAACTAAGCTTTGCCAGCCTCAACACTTCCTGATGGGTTCCTTCCATATTGCTGGGATTGTCCTTGGTCAGCAGCACCAGCAGCATCCCACAAGCAGTTGTTCTGGCACAGAAGTCAGGAATCACACATTCCTCCAAAGCTAATGAAGTTAAAGTTTACGGGACTTGAAGGTCACTGGTTCAGCAGCTGCCAACCCCCCAGCTTCAGGAGCTCTGTCCTGCAAACCTGTGCATGCCAAGATAAGGCTGATGAACAAAAAACAAAACTTTGTAATATTACTCTGTCCCTTCTTTGGGTTTAGGTACATTGTTAAGGGAAGTTTGCTTCTGGAATTGCTGGCTTTGGTGTGTCCTTAGTGAGCTGCTGTGAATGCCACACTTCTCCATCACCAACTGCCAGAACAGAGACACAGAGTCAGAGCAAAGCAGGACCAGAAACCAAGTCCTAGCAGAAAACCAGCATTTCCACACGTGCCGTGGCACTGAAATAACGTGTCTTCTGTGGTGATTTATGCCGAAAAAGAGAGAAGTTAAGCAGTTAAAGCAAGCGTGGCTGACTGCAAGCCTCCTGCATGACTTTCGCCTGTGAAACACCCTCTGGATCAAACGTCTGTGTTGAGAGGAGCCTGGCTGCGGGTGGGAACCGCGGCCCTGCGACCGATCCGATGGAACCGGGGAGAAGCCCAAGCGCCACGCGGTGTCTGTTCTGTCTCCCGGGACTAAGGGAAACGGCAGGAAGAAGCTCCCGGGACTCCGCTCGTCCCCGCGGAGGCTCCTCAGGAAGGCGAGGCCGGGCACGGCAGCAGCGGGACAGCGTCACGGCAGCAGGTCCCGGGGACACGCGGTAATCCCGGGGCTGGGACGGGGACACGGGGACACAGGGACGCGGGGACACAGGGACGCGGGCCCCGCCCCGCGCAGCCACCGCGGAGC